GCTCCTGAACGTATTGCCACTGCCATCATACGCGAGAGTAGAATTGGCAAACTTTTGTATTATTAATTACCGTACGTGATGAATTAATATATGAAAAAAATAAGCCAAACATTACACTGGGATAGATAGACGTATTTTTTTTAGAATGCCATTCTCATTTTATATTTTTTAGTGCCCGTATTACTTTTTCTCTCCCCTGTGCAATCATCCGCACACGCAGTCGTGCAGGGATAAATCATTTTAGTGCCTTGCTAATTCCCATGCAAATGGCGTGCGGCGGCGATGATTTAAATTTGGCGAAGGCTCGCTGCCCACACTCTGGGCGATAAACCTGTTAGTGTGGGACAGACTTATGGAGCGTGGCATACAGGAAAGATTTTCCTAATCAGTAATAAATGGGATTTACGGCGCCGGTGACACCTCGTGAGCTCGGTAAAGACGGCCGTCCCGCTCTTCCGCCAAAACCTGCCCACAAGCTCCCCTTCCGATCGCGGCGATGTATTTATCGCACGGGCCCCGCGCTGTATTAACCTTCCGCTAAGTCTTGTTTATAAACGAGTGCCCGGGGAAATATCTCGGGAGTAACAAAAAAGTTTCGCTCGGGAAATTTACGACGAGGTGTTCGTTTTTTTAAGGCAACACACCGGCAAGCCGCCACGTCAACAGGGCTGCACTGCGAGCGCCCGTCTGCTCACGCGCGGTGGTGTGGCCGGTACCACGCCTTTGCCTCCCCGTGGGGCCGGTGTTTACTCACTGCCCGGTGGGTTAACTCGTTCGAGTGCCGGATGGGGTGCGTGCAGGGGAAGCGGCGGCGGGGTGGAGGGCGGAGGGGTGGGTAGGAGCGTGAAGGGAGCGTGTGGTGACCAGAGGGTGAAGATGAGGAGGTGTGGGAGTAGGGATGGGAGTGTGGTGATGTGACGAGGAGGAGAAGGATGAGGTAAGGCGTGGTAAGGGAACACGGAGGATGAAGAGGCCTAGGGGAGTCCCAGGACTGGTTCAGGCAGGCTGCTTTGTTGAGGTTCAGCGACACGGACATCACCCGTGCCTCAATCCTTCGCCTCTTGAACCTGGCGTGAACTCCGAACCCTTCCAAAGTGACTGCCCGAGTGATGTAACGGAGCCAATCAATTCGCTGCTCTGCAAACACAGCGCCTCTCTTGAATACATCTCTTGACCTACCCCTCTCGTCCTAACCAATCATCATCAGCCATGGCGCGTCTACTGCTGGATGAAGGCCTCCCCAATGCTGTCGCCGTCTCTCACTGCCCCGCGACGTAACAATCGATCAGCGCGCGAGCCCATTTCATCGCTCCATCTCTGCGGCGGTCGCCCCCTCACACGCCGCCTCCCCCCAACTCGGCCGCCACCCCTGCCAGAGTTGTGTTCTGCTTAAGCCAACTGTGAAGAACCACGATTATTATGCGTCGTTTTTCTCGCCGTGCACCGCTGAGAAAGCAATCTACCAGTGTGCGTGGAGCTTCATTAGTAATTGCCCTTTGATTTGTTGCCTATTGTCCGCCGGCTTAATTGCATTTGACTCACTTCGTTTTAGTGGCCGCATTTATCAATCGTTCCAAAGCAAGGGCTCTGTCATACCATGACGCGCCCTCCAGCACACGTCCATCAAACACTCCCTGTGTGTATGTGTGCATATAGAACACGTGCGTGTGTGTGTGTCTGTCTCTATCGGGAGCGGTAGTGTAGTGGTTAGCGCGCCGCGCTACAAACCCGAAGACCCGGATTCGATGCTCGCTCACGGCCACTACCACCGGTGATTATTATCTGAACTGGTCCTGGGCCTCCCCTAGGTCGACTCAGCCTCAAATGAATACCTGGCACAGTGTGTGAACATCGGCACTGGGGAGACAAAGGCGGCCGGGCGTGGTGCTGGCCACCCACGCCCTCGTGTGGCGTGCCGGCCTTCATAGGTGCTCGCTTACAGCACTTGCACCAACAGTCTGTTAAGGCTGTACGGAGGATCTTTGTCTTTGTTGCATTGGTTAATGTGTGCAGAAGCACACTGCACATTCACGTAATACACACGCGTGCACACGTGTGCACACACAAAACTAAAACCGCGCGCATCATCAACACCGTTGGGAAAGGCCGTGGGTTTGGTGTCAAGGCGGTTTTTTAAGGCCACCCAGTTTTTGTGCCAAATTTATTCGGAGGGAGAGAGAGAGCGCGCGTGAGAGAGTGAGTGGATGAGTGAGTGCGTGAGCGCGCGTGTGGGCGTGCGTGCGAGTGAGCGAGTGCATGTGTGAGCACATGTGTGCGAGTGATCGAGTGCACACATGAGCGAGCGGGTCAGCGAGCGCGCGGGTGAGCGAGTTCGTGGGCGTGTGCGTGCATAGGTGTGTGGGTGTGTGGATACGTGAGTGTGTGGGTACATGAGTACATGGGTGTGCCGGTGCGTGGATAAGTGGGTGTGTGGTTACATGGGTGTGTTGGTGTGTGAGCACGTCGGTCCGTGGGTGCTCAGGTTCGCGGGTGTGTACGTGGTGCGTGGGTACGTGGGTGTGTGGGTGGGTGTGTGGGTGGGTGTGTGGGTGGATGGGTGCATGGTGGTTACGTGGGTGTGTGGGTGGGTGTGTGGGTGGGTGGGTGTGTGGGTGTGTGGGTACGTGGGTGTGTGGGTGGATGGGCGCATGGTGGTTGCGTGGGTGCTTGGGTTCGCGGGTGCTTGGGCACCACTGAGAGCGTTTGGTCGAGAACGTCTCAAACACCTGAGCCTCAGTGGCAGTGGCTATTATTAGGCAGAGGCTGCCTGGGTCACCTAACGTCAGCGCGGGCAGTCGGCCGGAAGGAGCCGATGCGCGTGGCTGTGCGCAAAGGGAGGAGGAGCGGGGGGTGGGGGGAGATGGCGGGTGGGGAGAGCCGGTGGCGGCTGGTGGCCGCTGGCTGTTGCAGCAAGGCATAACCACGAGGCCGAGTTCGGGACCAATCACGAGTCGCGGACTCGGGAGGGCCTCGCATTTTGGGTGCTGCGACCTGGAAATATGTCCTCGCTCGGCACACCACATCCAGTATACCTCCAGCTATGGCTGTGGCTACAGGTCACGTGGCACCTATTTTGGCCTACCGGGCAAAACCACATGCAACATTTTTTTTCGGGTTTGAAGTATAAGCCTCCGCATTGAGTCATCGCCGTACGATTCTGAACGCCACTTCCCAGTGCCGCGCAATAACGCGCGTAATTACCCGGTTGCTGCCGTGTTAAAATATAACGGAGTCCCATCACAGCCAAGCGTGGTCGTACTCGGAATAATAATAATAATACGAGTACTCTGTGTTAATGCGTAGACAGCCTTAGATTAATGTGGCAGCATTGGGTTCCTGTGATAGCAAGCAATTAGTGTTAATCTACAGACAGCCACAAGCTGAACATGACAGTACTCAGCAGCTGCCGCCAAACGTCTCATGTGTTACTTTAGTGGCAAATTCTTCCTCTTATTTTATTTCTCCCTCAGATGCTTCTGCCGCTTCTCTTTCTTCTTCTTCTTAAATACTCGAATGAGGCCAGAGGGATAGAACCCCTTTCCGTCTATCCCCACCTCCCGCCTCTTCTTTTGTTTGACCATACTTCACCACCTTGGTCAGCGTGGCTTGGTGAACAGCGAGGCCCCGTGACGCGTGCTCAGATATCGCTCGCCACTGATGTCAGACGTGGCCGAGAATCGCTGCGCTACTGTTCTGCCCAGTCATTTCTGATGGCTCGTTTTAAAAAAATACGACGGTTTTACATCATTGTATCAACCCACTGTTAGGTTAAGCCTTCACTCAACTCTGGAGTTCATGACCATACTCCACCACAATGGTCAATGTGGGTTGGCAAAAGGGTTAACTGTTGTCTTGCTCGGATATCCTCCGTACATAATTTGCCCCCCCCCCCCCAGATTCACTGTATCACAGGAGAGGTGCATATCATAATGCATACTAAAGTAATAATGCATCCTTTCTATCCGGCAAAATGTCAGCACTGTCAAAAGCCCCCCCCCCCACCCCTCCCCAACAAAATATATCACAAGAATCAGGCCTGAGGGCCGGAATAAAGCCTCAAGGCCTGAATCAAGCCTGACGACCAGAATCAGGCTTGATGACCAGAAACAAGACTGATGGGCAAAATCAAACCTGAGGGCCTGCATCAAGCTTGACAACCAGAATTAGGCTTGATGACCAGAATCAAGACTGATGGGCAAAATCAAACCTGAGGGCCTGCATCATGCCTGACGACCAGAATCAGGCTTGATGACCAGAATCAAGACTGATGGGCAAAATCAAACCTGAGGGCCTGCATCATGCCTGACGACCAGAATCAGGCTTGATGACCAGAATCAAGACTAATGGGCAAAATCAAACCTGAGGACCTGCATCAAGCCTGACGACCAGAATCAGGCTTGATGACCAGAATCAAGCCTGATGATCAGAATAACACATGTGGACCAGCTACTTACACTTTATTGTGTCTGAGGCCGTAACCATATTTATTCCCATATATATCTCATCCCGTCTGTCCCCCACCAATAAAGCTGCAACATTTTCCGGGAGGCTCAACCGGCGGCACGTGGTGAGCTGGCAGGCCCTCCCCTCCCTCCCTCCCCTCCCTCCCGCCCCCAATATCAGACACACAGCTCTGCCCACTCAACAACTATCCCCGCTCACACAGCAAGTGTTTTACACAAGTGCGCCGTGGACACTCTTAGCACGCGAATCCGCACAGCCTAAGTGCGTTGTCATCGCGTGTTCAGCGCTTCCACGCCTCCCCGCTAAGGGAGGCCTCCCCGTGAGGGCTCCCCCCCCTCGCGGACGTCTCCACCCCACCGTCGCTGCGAGAAACGCCGCTCGGCGTTTGGCCCGACCCCCATTTGGGGATTGTCCTCAACCCCCGCGATGGCGCGGGCCATCGAGTCCGGCGGGATCCCCCCCCCCCCCACCACCCACCCCACCGCCCTCTGCGAGGCCGCTTGCGTCCGAGGCGGCCCAGCGTCCAGGAAGCTCACCTGAACCTCTGCGCCTGGTGGTGCAGGGGCCCTGGGTAGCGGCGGATTGGCGACTGGTAGAGCTGGGCCAGCAGGGCCTGGCTGGTCTTCTGGCTCGGGTTGTTGGCGAACTTGACGGTGACGGGCTCGGCGGCCCCCGGCGGCTTCTGCCCGTTGAGGCCCTTGATGGCCTCCTCGGCCTCGACGCGCTTGTCGAAGCGGATGAAGCCCACGCCGCGCGACATGCCTGCTGGGGCCACGACGAAGATGCGGCGGCGAAGGCGACGTGGAGCGCCGGGGGAGGATGAGGGAGGAGGTTGGGGGGTTGGAGGGGGGATTGGAAGGTGGATGTAGCGCGTGGTGACCCGAGGAAGATCAGGAGGGACGTGGTAGGACGAGTGGAAGGAAGAACGGAAGAGAAGCACAGGAGGGGAAGGGGAGGGAGGGAGGGAGGGAGAAACAAGACGCAGCTAAAAACCTCGCTCGCGCAGGAAGAGCCGATTTGCGTCTTGAGACTACGCGAGGCTTCTCCGGGTAAGCTGGTGTAACGAGGATACCACTCGCCACTGATGTTAGCCGTGCCAGGAACTGAACCAAGGTGGCGCAGGGTTCCGAGGACACAGCGTGAACCACTGCGTCACTGTTCCCCATCACTCGTGCAATTTTTGCTCTATAAAGTATAAATGAGCATACCTTAGCTTGTTTTAACTTCAAATATAACACTGCGCTATTGATCGCAAGCTTTGTAGCGTCATCTGTATGCATTGGCTGCTGCCCTTCGTGCGTTAACCCGAGCTCGCTGATATGCTAATTTCCCCGCGTCAATAGTTTTTGAAATCATAATATATACACACACGTAATGGCGCATGCTGGAGAGTGACTGTAATCTGCCTAAAGAAAAACAATTTCTCTCCCAACTGTCAATAACTCTCACAACGAGACACGTTTGGCTGAGCAGATGAGCGCGGTTCAGGTGGAGCTACATGAACAGTGGGTGGGGTTACATGAGCAATGGGTGGAGCTACATGAAGTGGGTGGAGTTACATGAGCAATGCGTGGAGTTACATGAGCAATGGGTGGAGCTACATGAACAATGGGTGGAGTTACATTAGCAATGGATGGAGCTACATGAACAGTGGGTTGAGTTACATGAGCAATGGGTGGAGCTACATGAACAGTGGGTGGAGTTACATCAGCAATGGGTGGAGCTACATGAACAGTAGGTGGAGTTACATCAACAAAGGGTGGAGTAACATGAACAGTGGGTGGAGTTACATGAACAGTGGGTGGAGCTACATGAACAGTGGGTGGAGTTACATTAAAAGTGGGTGGAGTAACATGAGCAGTGGGTGGAGTTACATGAAGAGTAGGTGGTGCTACATGAACAGTGGGTGGAGTTACATCAGCAATGGGTGGAGCTACATGAACAGTGGGTGGAGTTACATCAGCAATGGGTGGAGCTACATGAACAGTGGGTGGAGTTACATCAGCAATGGGTGGAGCTACATGAACAGTGGGTGGAGTTATATCAGCAATGGGTGGAGCTACATTAACAGTGGGTGGAGTAACATGAGCAGTGGGTGGTGCTACTGAACAGTCGGTGGAGTTAAATGAGCAGTGGGTGGGGCTAAACGAGCAGCGGGTGGGGCTACATGAGCAGTGGGTGGAGCTACATGAGCAGTGGGTGGGGCTACATGAGCAGTGGGTGGGGCTACATGAGCAGTGGGTGGGGCTACATGAGCAGTGGGTGGGGCTACATGAGCAGCTGGTGGAGCTGCATGAGCAGTGGGTGGAGCCAGCCCACGGCACACGCCGGTTGTGCGACGTCTCGCCTTGTCCCTCACCGGTGACCTGGTCGACGAGGATCCTGGAGGTGATGATGCGCCCATACTGCGAGAAGAGCTGCTCCAGCTCCTTCTGGCTCATGTTCTTGGGCAGGCCGCTCACGTAGAGGTTGGCGTCACGGATGGACGCCGAGCTGGGGCGTGCGTAGGACACCTGCGCGGGACACGGCACGACACGGTGGGAGGGGGGGGGGGGGGGCGGAGGTGAGGACGTGTCGATTTCTAGAATCCACGGAGCCCTGGTAGTAAGGAATATCGGAATATTTATTGATTCTGGAGGAATCCGACGAGCTGCAAAGCTCTTTGTCACATGTCCGGCAGAAAAAAATGGGATACGATGTCCGAATTATCTTCCCCTGACCCCACCTCCTTCATAAACTGTCGACAATTTTATTTTTATTGTAAGGCACCACTGAGCTTTCTCAGAAACGACAGCTCAGCCACGGGTCTCAGCAGTGTGTGCAAACTTATAGAAGCAGCCAAATACTCGCGTGATGTCGATTTCTAAACGTGGAGGGGAAAACCGGAGGACCCGGTGAAAAATCCACGCGACCACGGGGAGAACACGCATTTAGAGTACACATTCTACAGCAGCATTATCAGGTGCTGCTGGCACGAATGACGCTATATACAATTTAAAAAATGCACGTAAATATAGTAATAACAACATTAACATGGTGACAATGGTAAAGGATTTTCAGCTACTGCCCCCAGCTATCAGGGACAGTTTAACGCAGCCCCGGCTTTAGGCGCTGCAGTCCAGGGGCCGCGAACCATGAGCACCCACCCCCCTTGCCACCCCAACCCACTCCCCACAAACATATATACAGCCTAATAGCGGTCGATACTGTGGCCACTATGGTAAATCCTATGGGTAATTTGCTAAGTAAAGACATTGTATTACAATGCGTTTTAATAAGTGCCACGTGCCAAAATGTAAGTGGTTTTGTTCGCTTTAACTCCGATGTAGCGCTTAAAGCCCAGAACTGAAATAGCCCAGGTTAATAACAGCGGTACTTTTGGCATCGTCGGGCATGGGTGACGGTGGTGGTAAAACAGTCGAGTGAAGGAATTGAAGCGACAAAGTTCGCCACGATCGACACGGCGTTCCGCTTAGGCGCGGAGATCTCACGATGGCGACAACAGAGGCGAGAGTTCGACGCGAGCCGGTGGGGAGCCTGCGTGGAACAGCCGAGGCGGCGCTCAATGGAACGGGCAGACGGGCGTGCAGTGAAGTTGCCGTGCTTCACTGGAGCTGCCGCCGATTAACTCCCGCCCGCCGATCAACAACTCCCGCGGATCAACTTCTGGCAATCAACAACTCCCAACGATTAACAACTCCTACCGATCAACTCCCGCTAATCAACAACTCCCGCGGATCAACTTCTGGCAATCAACAACTCCCAACGATTAACAACTCCTACCGATCAACTCCCGCTAATCAACAACTCCCGCGGATCAACTTCTGGCAATCAACAACTCCCAACGATTAACAACTCCTACCGATCAACTCCCGCTGATCAACAACTCCCGCAGATCAACTTCTGGCAATCAACAACTTCCAACGATTAACAACTCCTACCAATCAACTCCCGCTGATCAACAACTCCCGCGGATCAACTTCTGGCAATCAACAACTCCCAACGATTAACAACTCCCGCGGATCAACTTCTGGCAATCAACAACTCCCAACGATTAACAACTCCTACCGATCAACTCCCGCTGATCAACAACTCCCGCGGATCAACTTCTGGCAATCAACAACTCCCAACGATTAACAACTCCTACCGATCAACTCCCGCTGATCAACAACTCCCGCGGATCAACTTCTGGCAATCAACAACTCCCAACGATTAACAACTCCTACCGATCAACTCCCGCTGATCTGACGTCACGTTCCTTTTGCACGCAACATTGTGTTCCAATGTAAAGCCAAGGCACTCTGATTTTTTTTCCTTCTCTGTTTCCGCCATGTTATCCAGCTTGGGTGGAGCACACACACCACGCTGTGAATTCGACGGTCCGAGTTTCAATTCCTGGCCACAGCCAACTCGTCAGTGGCGAGCGATATTATCCGAACCGACCGCGTCCTGGGCCACCCACGCTTCCACCAGCCGGCAAAAGTCCAACAAAGTGAAGTACGCTAAAAACGATGACCCTCACCCGACATTGGACTTGGGATAGGTCCTAATCCAGCGAGTGAATTGACAAATGGCTGTAAATTATTTTATCTCCGCGGGTCGCGTTCGGTTGCAAATAAAGAATTTGACTGCGAGTATAGATTTCCACGTACTAATTCACTTCATTTGGGCTATCGTTTGTGGCGGGTCGTTTCTCCAAAAGAGCTACGTAGCCGAGCGGGGCCTTACCTGGTGAAAATAAAAAATAGAGTTGTTTCTAGAGCTCGCAAAACCCCGACCCACGGCAGAGACGTCGAACGCGAGCTACCGTCCAGGAACTCCGCACGCGGTCCGGAGTCGAACCGGGAGTTCGGGGCTCGAAAGGCGTAGCGGACGAGACAAATGCGGCGGTGTCACTCGGCCGCCCGTGGGCTCTTCGCCCGCCACGTTTGCACCGCCGGCTTTTATCGCGGCCGGCTGAAGCAATCACTCAGGGCCAAGCAATCCATCATACGCGGGACAAACGCATTCATAACCACGCCTCGCCCGCCATCGATCTTCCTGCTTTGTGGGTATTCGTCAATAAAACCTTAATAGAACAACGGCCAAACGATGGCGAGGCTTTCTTCAAATTTGAAATAATTGGGTATTTTACAACGCAAACAAAAAGTCTTATTTTGAAATATATATCCGCTCGCGTTTTTTTCCTTTCCCTACCAGTTCGTTTTTTTTGTTGCTGACAAATCGGCAGGAATTGGTGTACTTCTACACTTCATTTATATGTAGTTATTCATAGCGACTTGCTTACATTTTGTTCTCTCGTTTGCCCATGTATAGTTGTTAGTTCGTATTGTTTGTTGATGTAACATGCTGACCCGCCCCTACTGGACATCTGTGTGAAAACAGAGATTTGTAGCTCATCGGAGATTGTGCGTCTCGTGACGGTGACACTCATATTTATATTTGTTATGCTGCCTACGTACGGTGCGAAAGAAGCTCAAAATACATACAAGAGCAAAGCAAACTGGAAGATTCTGCATTTTCGTGGAGCTATTGGTGACAACAGTGAGGACAATCAACTCACTCCACTTGATACCCACGGATAATCACAACCCAATGTATGTACTTTTATTAATCTCGATGTAAGTCTATGGATCTCTGTAAGTCTATGGATCTCTATGTAAGTCTATGGATCTCTATCTAAGTCTATGGATCTCTATGTAAGTCTATGGATCGCTATGTAAGTCTATGCATCTCTATGTAAGTCTATGGATCTCTATGGAAGTAGATGCATCTCTATGTAAGTCTATGGATATCTATGTAATTTTATGGATATCTATGTAACTCTATGGATCTCTATGTAAGTCTATGGATCTCTATGTAAGTCTATGGATCTCTATGTAAGTCTATGGATATCTATGTAAGTCTATGGATCTCTATGTAATTCTATGGATATCTATGTAAGTCTATGGATCTCTATGGAAGTAGATGCATCTCTATGTAAGTCTATGGATATATATGTAATTTTATGGATATCTATGTAACTCTATGGATCTCTATGTAAGTCTATGGATCTCTATGTAAGTCTATGGATCTCTATGTAAGTCTATGGATATCTATGTAAGTCTATGGATCTCTATGTAATTCTATGGATATCTATGTAAGTCTATGGATCTCTATGTAAGTCTATGGATCTCGATGTAAGTCTATGGATCTCTATGTAAGTCTATGGATCTATATGTAATTCTGTGGATCTCTATGTAAGTCAATGGATCTCTATGTAAGTCTACGGATCTCTATGTAAGTCTACGCATCTCTATGTAAGTCTATGGATCTCCATGTAATTCTATGGATATCTATGTAAGTCTATGGATCTCTATGTAATTCTGTTGATCTCAATGTAAGTCTATGGATCTCTATGTAAGTCTACGGATCTCTATGTAAGTCAATGGATCTCTATGTAAGTCTATGGATCTCTATGTAAGTCTACGGATCTCTATGTAAGTTTATGCATCTCTGTGTAAGTCTATGGATCTCTATAAAAGCCGACGGATCTCCATGTAAGTCTATGGATCTCCATGTAAGTCTATGGATCTCTATGTAATTCTATGGATTTCTATGTAAGTCTATGGATCTCTATGTAAGCATATGGATATCTATGTAATTCTATGGATATCTGTGTAACTATGGATCTCTATGTAATTCTGTGGATGTCTATGTAAGTCTATGGATCTCTATGTACGTATATGGATCTCTATGTAATTCTATGGATATCTATGTAACTCTATGGATCTCTATGTAATTCTCTGGATCTCTACGTAAGTCTATGGATCTCTATGTAAGTCTGTGGATCTCTATGTAAGTCTATGGATCTATGTAAGTCAATGGATCTCTATGCAAGTCTATGAATCTCTATGTAAGTATATGGATTTCTACGTAAGTCTATGGATCTCTATGTAAGTCTATGGATCTCTATGTAAGTCTATGGATCTCTATGTAAGTCTATAGATCTCTATGTAAGTCTGTGGATCTCTATGTAATTATATAGATCTCTATAAAAGTCTATGGATCTCGATGTAAGTCTATGGATCTCTATGTAATTATTTGGATCTCTATGCAAGTCTATGGATCTCGATGTAAGTCTATGGATATCTGTGTAAGTCTATGGATCTCTATGTAAGTCTGTGAATCTCTATGTAAGTCTATGGATCTCTATGTAATTCTATGGATCGCTATGTAAGTCTATGGATCTCTATAAAAGTAGACGGATCTCTATGTAAGTCTATGGATCTCTATGTAAGTCTATGGATCTCTATGTAAGTCTATGTATATCTATGTAAGTCTATGTATATCTATGTAAGTCTATGGATCTCTATGTAAGTCTATGGATCTCTATGTAAGTCTATGGATCTCTATGTAAGCCTATGGATCTCTATGTAAGTCTATGGATCTATACAAGTCTATGGATCTCTATGTAATTCTATGGATCTCTATGTAAGTATATGGATCTCTATGTAAGTATATGGATCTCTAT